ACTTCCTCCATCTTTCCTGACTTCCTCCAAGCTTTTTCAACTAAAATAATAAAAACTTGGCAAGTATTTACTTTTCACCACAACTTTATAATGATTATTCAACTGTTAGAAGATTGGACACTGCTAGATATTACTAAATAGATGCAAACAAACCTGTAAAACCATGAGCCCTACCCAGCGAAAGATAAATTTTAAAATTTCTCTTCATTATAGCCACAGTTGACTGTGATCTGGGAAAGCAGGAAAGATAAACTCTTATTTTGGTAGAAAGCTGAAGACAAACATACACATTTACAACATATACACGTATACATTACAAACATAGCTGTATTTTTTCTTTCTTTTTGCAGTTTTAGGGATCAACTCCAGATCTCCAGCATGCTAGGCAAGTGCTCTACCACTGAGTTACACATTTAGCCCTAATATGATTCAGCAATTTTCCTCCCAGAAATTTAACATACACATACTCAGATCTGTAGATTAAAATGAATGCACAGGATATTCATTTTAGCATTGCAAAATTTAACAGCAAAATTCTGGAATACTCCAAATTTCCTATCACTTCTCAGCACAGAGCTGTCAAAATAATCCACCATAAATTTATAAGACAGGATAATATGAAGCTACAAAAGACTATGTGTATATATTGCAACTCAGGGCAGATATACATTATAAAAATCTTAAAGTAGCTATTTCGAACAAACAGGACTACAGTATGTAGAATGGGACCACCCTTTTTACTTTAAACTGTTCTTTACTGTTTGAACTCCTTTCAGTATGTGTGTTTGCTATTTTACTAATAAGAATAGCAGCTATGCAGTACTTTCTGCATGGCTTAAAACCATCTACCTGCTCTCCAGTGGAGTGGGCCAGTGATCTTTCTTTTCTGGCCTTCACAGGATAAGCCACAGAACTACCCAGTGATGAGGCGCCATCCCTTCCCAGTCAGTTCAGGAGACTTCGAAAGGTGCTAAGGCCCCGTCCTCCCTCACTCCTGCCTGCTTTGTGTGGTCCTGGTGTACTAATGAAGAGCTATCGCACTTTCTGTTCTTCTGGTTATTGTTCTATATAGTCCATTGTCTCTGAAAAGCTAACTTGAAAAGGATGCCTTAGTTATCCTACTGAAAAAGATACTGGAAAAATCAGAATATTTTCCCTAATGCTTATGTATTATTTAATTATAGCATCATAGAAACAAAAACAAAGAAAAATGCTTTCTAACTAAGTGCAGAACTTGTCATTCTTCCAAATCCCATGAGAACTAAAAAACAGAGAACACAATAGCTAACAGCCCAACAGGCTTTCCTTCCCCATTTGGACTCTTCAGTGTTTGCCAACTTCAAAATACTAAATAACTTTTTCCACTAAAATTGCTTCCACAAGAAAAGTGGAACAAAGTACAACAAAGCTAAGAAGACAAAGTGAAATTTACATTCAAATTTTCTCATACTGAAGATCTTACAAAGTATTTGAACTTTGCTTCGCACATATTCTGCCAGAGAACTAGCTCAGACTCTACTGCAGGATGGAAGCAAAAAGGAAGGTTACCAGGAATCAGACTTCTGAGCTTCCCATCATTTGACCTTGAGAAAAGAGGTAGGGAAGCTCTTTACTTGCTAGCAAGTAGCCTTTCCAAACTGTAAAAAGCAACCCCTACAGTATTTTTCCTTTGTTAGGAGGTAGTGACATATAGGATTTTTTTAGAGTTAGTTATTTTTGTATTCATTTACCCATTCACTTTTTTTGGCTTTAAGGATGCATAAGAAAGTAAGTCCAAATGTCAATTTGAAAAAGTCTAATATCTACTTAGCTGCAAATCCTCCACAACCTGGTTTTATTATATAAGCATCCTCTCAGGAACAAAAAAAAAAGTTATTTTTATTCATAGAGAATAAAAGTAATTAGTGAAATGAAAAAACTATGTAGCCTGCTGGTTTGAGCTGTCTGTGGTACTGAAAAATGACACCAAAGCTTAAATCCACTGAGTTGTGCTCTTGCAAAGCTTCCCCATCCCACTATTTAAATCCAAGCACTTCCGCCCATGACTCACCTGAGCCGTTTTATTTTGCTAGCGTGTGTATAAACATTTTATAAAAGGTCACACTGACTTGCTTTCCAAGGTTCTCCATGAAAATGTCAGGGCCTCCCTGAGCTTCATTAAGTCCTTCCAGGGGACAGAGCCAGAATATGAGCTACATCACTGCTTTTCCCGACTGCAGTGGGAAATGAGAGCATACACCAGGAACACACTAGCTAGCTGTTACGCTCCGATCATCATACCATGTCATTCATTTTCGATTACATGCTCCATTCAAGGACATGCCTTTGGTTTGCAAGATAAGGCAACATATTTGCAAGGTACCCATTCACTTATGAAAGAAATATACCTAGTGCAGTGACATCAATAATTTAAAAAGAAAGGCACAATTTGTCACTTCTCATGAATATACATGAGCCTATGCACTTGGTTTCACTGAGTTTCACAGAGAAGTGTTGTGGCAGCTTGGCTGAGACACTTCTTTGGACAAATTAGAACACTGCTACTTTTCACTGATTCTTTACTGTATCCTGGGAAGGAAATCCCTCTTGACAAAATACTGGGTATAAAATGAGACTACCCAAAGTAAAATGATATTATCCAAGTTGCTACTTTGACATAATAGTGTGATGGGCTTACCAGATACTATATTGTACAAAATAAGCCCAGCTTTTAAAAAATCTAAATTCTAAGACTGAGGATTTAGCTCAGTGGTGCATTGCCTACCTGGCAAGTATGAGGTGCTGACTTCAATTCTTATGACTCCTCCAAAAAATAATAATAAAAATCTAAATTCTGTGATGCGTATGTCACATTACAGTAGAGAAATTCATTATTTATTCACCAAAATGATCCAATCTTATCCTCTTTCTCATCTAACCAACATATCTAGGCATTTGTACAGAAGAAACAGTCCATTTGGCCAACAATGAGAACATTTTCAAGCATGAAATAATCTATACAAATATAATTCCCTGCATTTTTATTAGTGTCTGTAAATTTCAAGAATACTAATATCTATTTAGGACATATAATTAACATCTGGCAACTCCTCTTAAGACTCTTATGAGTTATTTCAAAAATAAAAATCACTCAAGAATTCTTAAAAAGTGTTCTAAGGAAGACACTTTGTTCTTTATGTTAATACCAGCAAACATCCTCCCCATTAATGCTCATTTAGTCATGTCCTTTTCAGAAGAAACAGACAATTCTAGGAAAGCTGGTGTCTAATAAAAATCAGCAAGGTCTTCCCTGCTAGAGTGTGTCAAGTAAAATTATTTTGGCCTCCAAGCAACACATATTTTAAAGTTACTTGATTCTTAAAAATACAAAAGAACATCTCAGACCAATACCTGAAGCATAACCCTCTTCATATAACAATATTTAGAGTTAGATGGAAATGGTAGATAAAGCAATGTCCCTATTTGGACATCAGCAAAAGGAGCGAGCAGAGCACAGCAAGGATGGTGGACCGGAAGTGAGGAGACTGGCCGGTCCCAGCTCTGCACTCTCTAGCTACGGGATCTGGCAAGTCACCTACCGCTTTGACTTCAGGTACCCACGTGTAAACTGGGTCAAAGTACTTGTTTTGTTCCATCTAGTTCTGTCTCTCTTTCAGGTAAACATGAAAGGATACGTTTGTAATGTTTAACAAATTTCATTATCACTTCAAAACCTCTGAAAGAATCTCAAAAGGCTACCACCACCAGTTCTCAATTAAAGAGGAATCAATGTCAATTCTGAAATAAAAAAATTCAAATGTATTTGTCTCATTTTGCCAGTGCAGTTGTATTACAAATATTCTTGTTTTTGTCTATCATTTTCTACTTTTATTTTATCCCTTCAAAAACTCACTTTTCAAACTTTTAGAAAATATAAATGCAAAATGTAGTAATTCCTTCTTCTTTGCTAAGGGTTACATGCATTCTTGTTTTGTCTGGGCAAATGTTAAAGTTTTTTTTAAGTTAATGTGTGTTTGCTAGTTACTAATTTATAATTAACTTAATCTAATATTAATTACATCACATTTCCTATATGATGTCTCAAACTTGAAGGCAACCTGAATATGAAAGTGTCATAGTCCCACTAAACACCTAACAATAACTCAATGAAACCAGAAAAAAACATATATGCAACAATTCAAAATTAGAAAAATCCCTAGTTATTTTAATTCACCAACCTTAATGTTCCCTTGACTATGAGCTATATAGCACAGTAAACAGCTGACAAAAAGAGCCAAAATTTCAGCCTCCTGATACTGTCAGTAGCCGCCAAATCTAACAGCAGAGCTCCTAGCTAGATTTAAGCAATGCTAACACTTTCCTGCTAAGATAGCTCACTAGAGCAGTGTCGAGCTTTTAAATGACTTTTTAAAACATAACTTACTGACCACAGCTAAGTATCTACTCAGCTAAACGATATACAGAATGTGTAAACTAAATTTTACAAACTTTTTTTGTAATGCTGGAGAATATAGGAAAAAATTAGAGTTTTTTTATGTTTGTATCAGTTAGCTAGCAATATAACCTATCTATTTCCTTCTTTATGCTGTTTTACAGGAGACAATACAAATGGACAAGAATCTCCACAATAACTTACTAAGAAAAGATGTCTTAAAAAATACATCTACTGTACAGATTAAAGACAGTGTATAACTTGTTTTAAGAAAAACAAATGTGACTGACATGGAGAAGCGAATCTACCTGAAGACGACAGGGGAAAATGTTAATAATTTAACAAGTTCATCCCTGAAACTACTGCATAAATGTGTTGCACTGCCTTGTTTTCTTTTTCAACTTCTTCAAAAGAGCAGGTCATATGTCAACACAGGAGTACCTGTGTATGTGTCTTCCTCCCTTCCAGCAAGGATGTGAGGACTTGGGGAAAGCTCCTGTTGTCCTGCTTTTGCCCCAGCCTGACTGCATGGGGTTGGGTCATTAATAAAAAGCAGAGCCTAAATTACCTGTATTTCCCTGGCGTGGTACACGATGATCAGACCGAGCAGGATGATCGTGGAGAGACTGATAAGGCATTTCAGAGCTAAGGAATACAGCGACGCCTGCAAAACAGAAGAAAGACTTTTAAGAAAGGGCCACTTTTACCCAGCTTCCAGGCCACGAGGGTCTGTGCCCTGTGAGTGGATTCTAAGGCACACAGGGGTCCCAAGCATGGTGGTGAGGATATGGGTCTTTACTGTCTGATGTCAGCTTCCTTGGCTGAGCTCGGTGGTGTGCACCTGTAATCCCAGCACTAGGAAGGCTGAGGCAGGAGGACCGCTGCAAGTTCAAGGCCAGCCTTAACTGCATAGTGAAATCCTGTTTCAAAAAGTTAACCCCCCCATACCAGAGCCCCAAAAAACCGCACACCTGGGAGGGCTCCGACTAGCTGCAGGTTAGGACTCATCGGCACCATCAAGACTGAATAGCTGTGCATGGCCCCTTAGGAAGTTCCTCCTGACTTTAAGGGCTGCAAGTTAAAGGCACTTGGGTTCCCAAATCTGAGCACAAGGAGAGGAATACACACGCTTTTCCTACAATTCCCAGAACTTATTTAATGTGCCGGAACGCGCTGGCCACTCTTAGCGCCTGGAGAAGTTTGGCGGCAGGCGGAACGGTGCCTGCTCAGAGTCGCCTGGTCAGCTAGGGGTTTGCGTCCCGGCCGCGCTCGCGGTCCCGGCGGACACTCTCGATCGTCCCGGGGACGATTCCCGCTGGTGCCCGTCCCCAACCCCAGATATCCCGCTCCAGGAAGCTGGGCGAGGGAACTAGCCTGTACCTTGTCGTAGGCACCCCACGACAGCTCGGTCTCGATGACCATGACCACGATGCCGAACATGCCGAAGATGAGCGCGTAGTCGCTGAGCCGCTTGCGCTTCTCAAACAGGGCGCGCCGGTGGCCCAGCTTGTAGCCGATGTTCTGGTTCTTCTTTTTGCTGGATTTAGCGCCGCTGCTGCTGCCGTGGCCGCTGCCGCCGCCGCCGCCTCCAGTGCTGCCGCCGCCGCCCGCTCCGTACAGCGCCAGGTTGTTGGAGTTGTTGTGCTCCGGCTTGGACACCACGATCTCTGGGGCTGAGGACGAGGCGGCGGCGGCGGCGGACGGGGAGGACGCGCCGCCACCTCCTCCGACGGCCGCGGGCGGCTGCAGGGGCTGCGCCTCCGAGTCCATCTCGTGCAGGTTCCGGCGGGACGCGCTCAAATTGCTGAGCGGCCGCATGACGCCCCCGTTGTACCTGCAGCTGCTCATGGCTATTTCGGTGAAGGGGTTGCTCTCGCGGCGCGCCTGAGGCTGGAGAGGCTGGTGGTGCGCCGGATGCGCGGGGTGGTGGTGGTGGTGCGAGAGCGGCGGCCCCGAGCCCAGGCTGCCGAGGCTGCCCGTGGGGCTGGCGGCGGGCTGCAGGCTGTGGCACTGGTGGTACTGGGAGGCGGACGCGGGCTGCTGAGCGGGCTGCTGCCGGAGCGCACTGGCATGGCTGGACGGCGTCAGCTCGCTCACATTGAGCTGGCTGCCCCGGCGCGACGAGCAGCAGCAGCAGCACGACGAGCCCGACAGCGGAGAGGAGGTGCGGGTCCGGAAGGCGCCGCCGGGCGAGGAGGTGCGGAGCAGCAGGGACAGGTTATCCCCCGCCCCAGCCCCCGCCCCCGCCGCCAGGGCACCGGAGGAGGCGCAGCTGTTGCACCGGAGGCATGGGCTGCTGCCGCCGCTGCCGGGCGGCTGGTGCGCGAGGTGCGGGTGGTGGTGCGGATGCGGGTGCGGGAGGGGCGCGAAGGGCGGGCACGGCTTGTCCTGGCTCTGTTGCTGCTGCTGGCAATGCAGGTGTGAAGAGCGCGGCGGCGGCGGCTGCTCTGGGAAGAAGCCGCGCTGGAACTGCAATGGGGTTTCCATGTCAGAGCCGTTAAAGCTGCAGGGAGACCAGGCGGTGGTGCACCCTGCGCAATGCGTTATGGTCGGGAGCGGGGACTCCGGCTGCTGGTGCGAGGAAGGGCCCATGCCGGCTCCGGTAGAATCGAGGCGGCGAGTCCGATTGGCTGGGCGCGCCAAAACAATGGGCATGACATCACCTGCGGGGACCGAGACGGAGTTTGCGGCGCGCGCGGGTTAAGGAGCGCGTGTGGGAGACTGGGAGGGGGCGCGCGGATGGAAACCCGGGGGGCGCGGGCGGAGAATTCCGCCTGCGGACTCGCAGCTATGAGGGGACGGCGAGCCCCCACGCGGTGCAGCCGGGCCGCAGCGGCGGAGAGCCGCGCGCTCCCCGCGCCCCGCCGCCCCCAGCCTGTGCGGACGCGCGGGAGGTCGCCTGCCCTCCGCCCTGCAGCACTAGGGCTGCCCAGCCCCGGCACTGGAAACCCGCTGCGCCCAGAGCCCAGCACTGGGCACCTGTCGAGGATCGCCCCGCGCTGAGTGGACTGCAGGCTGCCCGCCAAGTAACTGTGGGGGCACCGGCGCTGGGGAAAAAAGTTTGGCGCCTGGGACGTCAGGGCGGCGACATTCGGCTGAAACCTGGGCTGTGAGCCCCGCCTCGGGCCCTGGAGCACTGGGCCCTGGCCCACCCCGCACGGGGATCTCCCCGCCGCCGCCGCGCCCCGGAGTCCCCGCATTGGCCGGGCTCGCCAAGCTCCCGCTAGAGTGCGCCGCGGCGCTGACGGGGTTAACCGCGGGCTCGGGCCGGGGGAGCGCGAGGCGGGGCCGAAGGGGATCCCCCAGTCCGCGGGAGGCACCGCGCGGGCTTCCCGGGGCCCCCTGGCGGGGGCAGACGGCTTTCCCCGCGCCCGCCCGCTCACATTTGCGCCCTCTGCGGAACATGGAGGGCTGGCGCCCCCGGCCGCCGGTCCTGGGCTGCGGCGCTCAGGCCCTCCCGCCGCCCGATGGGTGGCTCCGCGGGCTGCCTCGGCGGCGCGGAAGCGGCTGGTCCGGGGATCTGGGGCTCCGCGGTTCCTCCTCCTCGTCCTCACCTGCGGCACAGACACAAAGCAGAGGCGAGTCAAAAATGCGCCAGCCCGAGCGCGCTTCGCTTCGCCAAGCCCGGACTGCAGCATCGGGTGGGAGACGGGGTGTAGCGGGCTGATTCACACCCACAGTCACAGCCTGGCTGGGAATTAGTGGCACTGTAATGATGACCCCGGCTGAATAATCGCTGCCGAGGGACAGTGTCGGAGTTTTGCTGGACCTGAGTATAGTGATCATTTGCGCTTAATAAACCAACTAAAAATTGCAATTGTTTGAAATTCACCGCGAGGTGTTTGTTCTTGTGTGCTGCCATACAGGAATACAAAGCGGTGGGATATCCTTTAGAAGCTTCTTTGTCACCGCTCCATTTTAAGTCTTTTTATATTTGTATTTCTCTATACATTGAAATTCTTATCTCTCTCAAAAAAAGGGGAAGGGGGACAAAGAAAGGAAGGAAAAAATGACCAAATATCCGTTTCCATTTTAAATTCATTTGAAAGCAAGATAAAAGCAAGATTTTTATGATAGCGATTATTATAATGAATTAGACCAAGAAATTAGAGTGAAAGTGGATCACCCTCATTAGGTAATTGGAATTCTTAGCTGGATCCAATTTCTTGATATTCTACTCGGCAGCTGCCCTAAAGTTGCTTACCTGGTATCTGCTTGTAAATTGGGGGCGGGGGGGGGGTTGTTTTCAATGCCATGTAATGAATAATTCATTTTAGGATATTTTCTAAATGTGTGTTAAACAATTTAAATTTTTTTGAACATGCCATTAAATAGATTGAAAAACAAAAAGGGACAGGGTTGCTTTTAGACCCCACCCATCCACTTGACTCAAGATAATCAATGCTTTTAGAACTTGAATTTCTTAGTGGTCTTGATCAAGAATAGAATTTTAGCTGGTGAAATCAGGGACAGCATTCTTACAATCTATTATGACTTGTTCTGTGGCTCCAAGATGAGAAATTAATAAAACATTTAGAAGAATGAGCTTCACTGAATTTTTTTTTGGGGGGGGCAGCTCAGTAGATGGTGCCCGAATGGTGTCCCTTTGACTTTGGTTTGCATGAATGGTATTTTGTCTTTGAGGGAGAGCCAGAAGTTGCATAGTGAATAAGGTGGATGAGGACATGCCATGGTATTTTCATTGGACGGAAATTACCGTGAACATTTGATCAAGGAAGTAGGCTCAAAAATACTTTGAAGCATTAAATAAAATTTGTTAGAGTAAAAGACACAATTGCTAATAATCACTCTCAAAATACATATTTAAAATATTCCCCCTTGTTTCCACCACACTTATCATACTTGGCAATGTGCCTTTCACTATAGTTCCCCCCCCCAATATATTTTCAATGGTCATTGTTATCTCCCCTGCCAGGTAAGTATTGCCATATTTTGCAGTTACTCTTTAAATAGATCTAAATATGAAATTAAATGTATCATTGATCATGTAAAAAGGGAGTGCTGAGATTCAAGGTAATTACAAAATTTTGACCTCTTAAAGACAGTTCAGGGGAGATTGCACAATTTAAACAAAATGGAAATTTATTCCACAACACTGGTGATTGTCAGTATATCAGAACGCAGATTAACAGTACTTCACCCTAACCAGTAGTTTGAAATCTCATTAAAATAATAATGTGACACTCACTGTGACTATAGGGGACATCAAGTCAAACACTTAATGGCCTTTTCATTAATCAACTGATCACACACATTCAAAATGTCTTGCTAATAAATGTCTGCATTCTGAGAAGATGATAGGCTTCTATTAGCATGATGATGAGAAATCATAACTCCAAAAGCATTTCGTTTCATCATAACTTTGGGGGCATTTTACACTATTGGATTATGGCAGGAAGCACTTTTTATTTTCATGATTTCTCTTTAATAAAATGAACAGATAATTTGAAGCTAATAAGTAGATTTTAAATATGTATGTCATAATTTTGGAATTTTTCCATGTGGGATTGTAGAGGTACACATAGTGTACAGTCAGAGCAACAAAAACAATATTCTTTCACATAGAGTGTGCATTACAATAGCACGTACTCATTCATATTTGTAGAGTGAGGAATGAAGGAAGGAGGTAAGAAAAGAAACCAAAAAAAGGGCCAGCAACTTAAAGTGAAAAGCTTGCAGAAAATTACATTTGCTTTTCTTTCTTCTGTTAAGGCCTGTAAGTGCTGGAATTTCCCTAGATTAACACCAGAGGTCATACTCATCCACAAAATGGTTTGCAATCTAATCAGTTAAATATCTGTTTCCATCTTTGTGTGTGTGTGTGTGTGTGTGCGTGTGTGTGTGTGTGTGTGTGTGTGTGTGTGTGTGTGTGTATAAAATACTCTGTTTTGGACCTATGAGAGTAACTTTCTTACACAATATTTGTTTCATGTAAATCTCATGAATATGTACACGCTGACAATACCCATAACACACAAACAAATGCTTTCTTTAGATTTCTCAAACTACAAGGTCTTGGGGAAAAGATTCAGTCTTTGACACTCCAATCTCATTATTTTACTTAGGTTTATGTTATGCCATGGTTTATAGTTCTTTGTAGGAATTACTTGTGTATGTTGTCACTATTGTGCCTGTAAAAGCAGTATTCTTGGGTCAGGGATTTAGTTTGGTGCTGTAAGCACCTGCCCAGCAAACGTGAGGTGATGAGTTTGATCCCCAGTACCCCCCAAAATAAATAAAATAATAAAGACAGTATTCTCTGGAATCTGAGAACACTTTGGGGGCTCCATTGCATCTGTTTCTCACACTGAATGATTTGAAGGAAAGCTTCAGCAGACCTACAAAGTAGATATTGTTCTGAGATTCACTTTTTTCTTTTCTGGGTGATTCAGTTATTTTGTGGTGCCAAACATAGAAGTGGTGATAGAATAGAGCCTCTTTACACATATTTTCCTTAGTGATAAGTTCAAGTGGGGATTCAGGATAGCACAAGTTATTTCTTAGCACAACAATTCCACATTTCCTGAGCCATACCATAAAAGTCCTGAAAACACCATTATTTTTAAATACATACGTTACTACCATCTCAAGTAACATGCTACATTTCAAAAACACAATTATTACAAATGTTCTTTATAGTTTTGTGTTATGATTACAAACTATCAAGACCTGGACAATTACTGATTATAGTTTTACTAATTTTTAGTAATACTTCCGTTTTCTAGGGACTAATGATCATATTAGACCTAGGCCACTAACTTCATTAACTTTTCAAATTTTTTCTTCTCTCTTTTCTCCTATTGTTTCTCAACTAATTAACATGTCTCCAAAAGTTTCAGCAATGCTAGCAAAACAACAACCGCAACAAAAAAAACCATGCTAAGTTTGCTGGTAGAATTCAGCGGTGCTACTTAGTGACTAAAGAGGTTGAAATTACTGTTGTCTTTTTTTAAAAAGTCTGTGGGTTCATGAAAAATATCCCTTGGAAGCCAGAAACATACCCATGTATAGAAAATCATTTTTAAAAATTTTTAAAAAGGGAGAAACCGCACAGTGGTGTGTGCCTATAATATCAGTACTCAGGAGGCTGACGCAGGAGAATGGTTGTGAGATCAAGGGTTGTAAGTTTAAGGTCAGTCTGGACTACAACCTGAACTACATAGTGAAACCCTGTCTCAAAAACAAAACAACCTTAGTGGAGAGCACATGCTAGTTTATAGAAGTTTCTCACTATTGCTGTATTTTCATCTCCAAAAATGCATGTGGGAGGCAGAAAATGTTTTATGTTTCCATCTGTTGCATTTTTGTTCCTAAAAGTAGTCCCTGCCCTCCCTAAGATGGCAAAGGTGGATCACAAGGGCAAACCAGATTCCAGTCTTCTGTGTCTGTGTAGTGTGTCAGTTTCACACCTGGCCAGTTTTTTCCACAGCAGAATATTAACTAACAACTGCATCCACTCGGCTTTTCCAAGCTTCCTCACTGACTTCGTTTTCTATAATCATTAACTATTGTTGTCTTGTTGACTTCATTTGCTCAACAGAACAGTTTATAAAGGCATGAAGGAAATGTCAAAGAAAGGGTAATATTGTATGCCTGCGGATCCAAGCCACCTAAAACATAACAGCAAAACATGTGTGTTTATGTGTATATATACACTGATGTACTCTGACATACTTTTCCAGCTACTTTGCTGCCAGCTGTTTTTAGCAATTCCCTGTTTTTAGCAATCCTCATAATAAAAGCAGAAGAGAGACCAATGAAGGCTGTTTACTAGCACTAGCGAAGGCCATCTTGTTTATTACATGAGACGTGAGAGGTGGCGGACTCACGCTGTCAGGGCCGTGGCTCAGAGGACCCGGTCTGCATGGCTGAGTGGATCCAGACTGGCTCCTGAGCAGCTCCCTGCTCTGGCAACACTCTCCTCTCACTGCCTCTTCTTCCTTTGTGCTACCAAGTGAGGGAGTGGGAGAAAAGAAGGCAGGCTTCCTGCAGCAAGGCAAGAGAAGCTGGTGTGCATCACAGCTGGGACAGAGGGTCAGCGCAGTAGGGTCACAGATACTAAAAGGCAGCCCTGCCAGCAGTGGTGGCACACGCGTGTCATCCCAGTGATACGGGAGGATAAGACAGGTACATCACAAGTTTGAGGTGTGCCTGTGTGACTGAGACCCTGACTCAAAATAGATAAATTTTTAAAAAATGAACAGACAGGATATAGCTCAGTGGTAAAGAATTTGTCTAGCATGACCTTCAGTGCAATGCCCCGTACAAACACCCCCCCCCCACAAAAGTAGCATCTTAATTTTGAGGTGATAACTTCTACCTGCTGGTTTTAAAAGTTCTTGGGTCATTTAGTGTCATACATAAAGGTTGCCAAAATTCTCAAAGGTTTACTTTCCCTGAGAAATCCAGTGTGTTTTCCCATCATTCGTGTCTCCTCCCTTACAGGCTTAGTGTACATCACGCATTAGCTTTTTTTCTTTCTATTTTCCTAATCATAGCAAATTATATTTCTATGTTTTATCCATTTACCTGC